GACGCAAGAATAGTACGCAAATTCATTTCAATTTGAAGGTTCTGTTCGAGTATATGATAGGTCATCTACTTGTACTGTATTGATATACCTCAAACCCTACACTCTAGACTCCCTAAACCCTAAACCCTAAACCCTAAACCCTAAACCCTAAACCCTAAACCCTGCACCCAAAAAAAGGGTCTATGTAAGACTTTTATGTAAGTACCGAAGAGCATGGGTCTGCTTGGGGCGTAAGGACTTCCTCATAGGGGCACAAGTACATCCTCTCGAGGTTCATGGGACTTTGAGGGCTATGCCTGAACCCTAAACCTAAACCCTAAACCCTAAACCCTAAACCCTAAACCCTAAACCCTAAACCCTAAACCCTAAACCCTAAACCCTAAACCCTAAACCCTAAACCCTAAACCCTAAACCCTAAACCCTAAACCCTAAACCCTAGTCAATCGTCAGAACAACCCAACATCCAAGGAAGCGGATGCCCCCTGGCAAGCGGCTGAGGGCCACACTCGCCTCGCAGCTGTTGCAGGCAGCCAGGGCAATGGGGAGAAGGGGGGGAGAGGGGGGGGGAGGGGGGCAGGTGGGGGGAGGGAGGGAGGGGGAGGGGGGTGGGGGGGGAAGGGTGTTGATCATTCCAACCTTAACCCCCTGAACTTTGAAAGCACGCTGCAACGCAACCCAAACTCCCAAACGTCCTGAATCCTAAGCCAAAAACCCAAAGCACCCTAAAGTGTAAACCCTACGCGCAAAACGGCCTAAGCCCCAAACGGTAAACCCTAAACCCTAAACCCTAAACCCTCAGCCCTAAGCCCCAAGCCCCCAGCCTCAAGCCCCAAGCCCTGGGCCGTCTGTTCTTGTCGACCCTTGGCGTCGAGGTGCTGCCCTCCGCAGATGCAAACGCGCTGGCCGAGCCTCTTGCCCGCCTCCAGCCGAGCTCTAGTTAAACAACCGTATGTATATATATATATATATATGGTTTTTGTTTAGGGTTTAGGGTTTAGGGTTGAGGATTTTGACCGGGTTTTGGAGTACTATACTTTAGCACTTTGTTTGGTTCAGTGTTCCCTGTTATAGCAACTTATCCCTAAACAGGTATCTGCTGTTCCCTATACTTTTCCCAGGGTTTACTCCAAGGTAGGGTATATGGGGTTTTCGAAAATAAGGGAGCCCCTGGTCTGGACCCCCAAATTGTAGGTTGCATGTTCATAAGGACCCCAACAAGGTGCCACTAGTCACGGAAACCGCCATAAATACATATATGTGTATGTGTATAGACTTATACAGATACATGTACGCATGTGTGTGCTTCCCAGTTGTTCTTATTTAGACATCAAGAACTCGGGAAAGTTTAGGGTGTAAAAGTCTAGCCCTTTACCTTGCCTGAAAGCCAACCTTATCAGACCGCACACAAGAACTCTAAGGCCTTGCTAGGGCCGCTAGGGTTTCGGGTTCAGGGTTTAGGGTCGGGTTGAGGGTTTAGGTTCAACCGCTCATGGTGCTCTCAGGTATCTGGCACCTTCGCAACTACCCAGAACCCTAAACCCTGTATCCTACGCCCTTCATGTTCCAGAGCTGCGCATGTGCGGCATGTGGTCCCTCATACTGGCCTGCGTGAAAGCCAAGAACCAACAAGCAGGTAGACGGGGAACAGCGAATTAGCTACTGGCCATATTCGGAGCGATTTCGGAAAATTTTCAGGGGGGGTCAACGCCATCAGCCCGAAACCAAGACAACTCCAAACCCGAGACCTCATTCACAAGTTCAGAGGCTTTTTTGCAATTACCCTGAACCCTGAGTCTCTTGAGTCCCAAACCCCACCATCTCCCCCCCCCCCCCCCCCCCCCGAAGGATCTCGCAGATCACCGCCTTCCCCAACTCTCGCCTCCTCACGGGAGACCTGGATCTGGATTTCCGAGAGGCGCTGGCGAAGCGACCCTGGGACGGCAACAAGGTCCTTCGCGTTTGGGGTTCAGGGTTTTTTGGGGTGTCGGGTTTAGGGTTCAGGGTTTAGGGTTTTAGGGCTCAAGGTTGTGGCTTGGATGTTGTTGCTGTTGTTCTCTTTGGCCCCTTTGTTCCAGTGTATGGCCGAGTCTGTCTACAAGCGGTGACTTGTTGAAGTGAGGGTTTAGGGTTTAGGGTTTAGGGTTTAGGGTTTAGGGTTTAGGGTTTAGGGTTTAGGGTTTAGGGTTTAGGGTTTAGGGTTTAGGGTTTAGGGTTCAGCTTCAGCTGCTCCATGAGCCCGTCAGTGTGTGGGAGGTTGCAGTCAGGGCTTTGCTGGAAACCCTCAGCCCCGAACCGCTACCCACAGCAGTTGGCACCCCCCAACCGCCTAGAGCCTAAACTGCAGGGTTTCGGGTTTAGTTTAGTCTAGGGTTTAGGGTTTAGGGTTTAGGGTTTAGGGTTTGGGGTTTAGGGTTTAGGGTTTAGGGTTTAGGGTTTAGGGTTAAGGGTCCCTCCCTAAGCCCCTCTCCTTAAAAGCCAACCCCAACACGATTTGCTTAAGAACCCCAAACAATAACATGTACAAATAACAGATTACAATCCTCCGTGTGCCTCCTGACTACAGGCATCGGGGCTCTTGACCGCACCGCCATCTGGCCACGCCTGGTGGCCTTTGCTACCGCGCTCAGCGGAGGCTGGGGGCCCCCGTTTAGGGTTTAGGGTCTAGGGTTTAGGGTTTATAAGGTTTAGGGTTTAGGGTTTAGGGCACAGAGACGACGAGTTCGGAGCGTTTCAGGCTCCGATAAGGCCTTATGGGACAATGGGCCATAGCGGGATGGGTGCAGCTTGCCCTACACCCCTCCAAACCTCAGCAAAACCCTAAACCCTAGCATACACCTCTGGACGTCCCTAGGACTTCCGGCTGTTGTGCCTCGTCACAGGACTTTCCAGGTCTTACCGGGCCTACGGTGGTTTAGGGGATCAATCGGCCTGTGAGGGGCCAAATGGCGCCGAGAGTGCTTATGCCGTTTGGGCCTCCGTGGGGCTTTTGGGGCTTTCTGCTTGTGGGGCTTGGCGGCTTTTCAAGCTAGGCAGGCGTAGTCATGAAGCCTGCTAAACCCCTCAGGCCTGATACCCTGATCCCTTGAATAGGTTGCATAGGGGCTTTGGACCATTCGCTGACTTGGAGGTTCATGGTACTTACTAACCACTCATAACTGTACTTATAGCTGTACTTCTAACCATATCAGGGCAGGGGGCTTACAAGTGGGCCATAATTGCAGCTATAGTTGGCTCATAAGTACCACGAACCTCCACGTAGCTGTCTCTTGAAGCAGGTGATGGCCCCGAGGCGTACCGAGCATGGCGTCGGAGGCGCCGGCAAGCCAAAGCCATCCTGTGCCCAGAAGCTTCGAGTGAGGATACTTCGAAGATGCCCTGCAAACCCCTGGGTTTGGGGGGGGAACATACTTTGCTACATTTTTTTGTTGGGGTTCTGGGTTCCTAGCTATAGCTACTTAGACCAAAAACGTATATACCATTTTTTCCAGGGTCTACTCCAAAGTAGGGACACCCAACCCTTGAAGCCCTAAACCCTATAAACCCTAAACCCTTGGAGCCCTAAACCCGAAACCCTAAACCCTAATCCCTTGGAGCCCTAAGCCCTGCTTTTTGTCAGGCTCATTCCCGACGCCCTGGCACTGATGCAGCTGGACAAGCGGGATGCAATCCTGGCGAACCAAAGGCGCCAGCCCTAAACCCTAAACCCTAAACCCTAAACCCTAAACCCTAAACCCTAAACCCTAAACCCTAAACCCTAAACCCTAAACCCTAAACCCTAAACCCTAAACCCTAAACCCTAAACCCTAAACCCTAAACCTAAGCGCAGGGCCCCATAGGAACCCTCAGCCTCAGTCCTAGACCTGGGACTGCCCAAAGCACCAAGGCATCCGAAGCCGCATCCCCACAACTCGAAAGCCCCGAAGCCCCAATGGAACCCCCGAAGCCCCCTAGGGTTTAGGGTTTAGGGTTTAGGGTTTAGGGTTTAGGGTTTAGGGTTACCCGAAAACCCACGCCGGTAGTTACCTAAGTTGGGGTCCCTTTTACAGAAGTGTCGGTTAGTTGGTACTTCGCTTCGGGATTCATGAGTCCCGTGCAGACCCCGAGGCAGTAAGAAAGCAATGTTCCCAAGCTATCGGCGATAACCAACCCCTAGACCCTATCACCCCAAAACCCTAAACCCTGTACACCCTGGCCGCAAGCTTTTTCAAACCCAAAACCCCCCAAAGCCGAGGCCCTAAACCGCTAAACCCCAAACCCTAAAGCCCTAAACTCTTTGGGCTCTCCAGGTTCGTTCACGCACGCCTTGGCGGCGTGGTGCGGGATCCTGGCCGCGAGCGTGCTGAGCACCTGGGCTCCTGTTTGCTCAAGCTTCGAGTTTGTTGCTAGGGGGTGTAGGGTTTCGGGTTTAACTTGGGTACCTAAACCCAAACCCTCAACCCTAAATACTAAACCCTAAACCCTAAACCCTAGACTAAACCCTAAACCCTAAACCCTAAACCCTAAACCCTAGCTACTGACATCTTCGGGCTGGTAGAACTTCTCAGAGTCCAGGGCTGATCAAGGCTGAGGTCTTCGGGCTCCCCCAATTTTGGGGCCTCTCAGAGCCTGTAGGGTTTAGGGTTTAGGGTTTAGGGTTTAGGGTTTAGGGTTTAGGGTTTAGGGTTTAGGGTTTAGGGTTTTAGGGTTTAGGGTTTAGGGTTTAGGGTTTAGGGTGATTCAGCGTTGTTTCGGGTTTGGGGTTATTTTAGGGTTTAGGGTTGTGCAGCGTTGCCCCAAAAAGTGTAAGAGTAGGGTGTCAGGGTCGGGGTTAAGGGCTCATACAGAGTTGGGTGTTGAGGTCGAAAAAAGGGTACAGGACTCTTGTAGACTTAGCCCTAAACCCTAAACCCTAAACCCTAAACCCTAAACCCTAAACCCTAATTAAACCCTAAACCCTAAACCCTAATTATAAAGACTGCACAGGACTGCCGCGCGGCTGCTGATCGCTTTCGCCGGTGCCAAGCAGGCAGGATGGATGTTCGGCCTTCCGGGATTTATGGTGTTTTAGTTGAGGGTTTAGTGCTTAGGGGGGTTTAGCGGGTTTAGGGTTTTGGCAATTTGGGTTTTGGGGGTCTAGGGGGGTTTAGGGCGTTGGGGCGTTGCTTCAGGCTTTTAAGGGGTTTTTACGCTGAGGGCCCAAGCCCACGGCTTTAGGGGTTTCATTGTCATAGTGGGGTAACATGTTTCATTCTTAAGGGTACTTAAACTCAATAAGGAATAGAAAGCTAAATTTTTAATGCTTTCCCAGCCATGAACTAGGCTGGGCTAAGGGCTTGAGGGTTTTTAGGCAACCTGGCAGTGAAAACACTCCCTAGGCCTCGAACCCCGAGCACCCTCAGCACCTCAACCCCCCCTTTCCGGCTTCGGGTTTCGAGGTTTGGGGTTTAGGGTTTAGGGCTAGGGTTTAGGGTTTAGGGTTTAGGGCTAGGGTTTAGGGTTTAGGGTTTTGGTTTTAGGGTTTAGGGTTCAGGGGATCACTCCACCCACCAGGTCGCCATGGATGTGCAGCTGCTGGATGCCCTCTGCGCCCCTCTCGAGGACTCCGCAAGTTAGGGTTCAAGGTAATGTGTGTGTGTGTGTGTTTACTTTATTGGGCGGGGGGTTTAGGGTTCAGGGTTTAGGGTTTAGGGTCTAGGGTTTAGGGTTTAGGGTTTAGGGTTTGAGGTGTACGCATTTTTGGAGTGGGGTTGCTCTAGGTCTCCTGCTTTCCGCCTGGACGGCGTGAGTCTAGGGTTTAGGGTTTAGGGTCTAGGGTTTAGGGTTTAGGGTTCAGGGTTTAGGGTTTAGGGTTTAGGGTGTTCGAAGGAGCAGCACACTGGTTTTGGCCCTGTTCCGAATTGGCGAAGTGGTTTGGCAAGCCGAAACACCCCAAACCCGAAACCCCAAACTTCAAACCCTAACCCCAAACCCTAAACCCTAAACCCTAAACCCTAAACCCTAAACCCTGAAACCTTAACCCTAAACCCTAACCCTAAACCCTAAACCCCTTCAACCTGACCTGAGGATGCTTTGGAACAGCGGCTCGGAGGCCCCGAGGATGACGAAGGCGTCCTGGCGGTGCATAAGCAATGCTTTGGGTTTAGGGTTTAGGGTTTAGGGTTTAGGGTTTAGGGTTTATAGGGTTTATAGGGTTTATAGGGTTTATAGGGTTTATAGGGTTTATAGGGTTTATAGGGTTTATAGGGTTTATAGGGTTTATCGGGTTTATAGGGTTTATCGGGTTTATAGGGTTTATAGGGGGTTCAGGGGGTTCAGGGGGTTCAGGGGGTTTGGGGGGTGTACGGTTTAGGGTTTAAGAGGCTTTTGGGGGCACCCGAAGTCCCTTTTTTTGGGTTTAGGGTTTAGGGTTTAGGGTTTAGGGTTTAGGGTTTAGGGTTTAGGGTTTAGGGTCGATGTTTGGGGCGTTCCGGGAGCCCCCCACTGCCCTGTGCCCGAGGTGAGCTGGCAGCCCTGGTTTTGGGGCACGTTTCGCCATTTTACCCCTACATCCTAAAACCCTAAACCCTAAACTACCCTAAAACCCTAAAACCTAAAACCCTGAAACCCAAAAACCCTACATAAACCCTACATAAACCCTACATCCTACAACCCTCAAACCTAAAACCCTAAAGCCCTGAAGCCCCAAAACCCTGAACCCTAAACCATCAGAGCCCAGGTGCGCAAGGCATGCTGCCTCTGGCTCCTGAGACCATTGCCGACATCCTGAGCGCGGTCGCATTTCGGCCGGACATCCCCCCAGCGCCAGAGACGGTGGCGATAGTTTAAGGTTTAGGGTTTAGGGTTTAGGGTTTGGTTTCGGCTTGACGGTTTCGGTTTAGGGTAATCATCGGGTCCGGAAGTTTGGCGTTTGACTTGGGATTTTGGCTTCTAGGTCCTCACCCTAAACCCCAAAGCCTTTACCCCAAACCCCTAAACGCCGGCCAATCCGGTAACCCTCCATGTCAGCAGCCCAGGTGGCCTGTGGTGTGCAGCCGAAACGGCTCCACCGGCTCTTGGTGGACTGCCTCCTGCGCGAGAAGGTGGAATTCTGGGAGGGCCACCTGGCCATCAAACGGGGTTTTTAAGTTTGGGGTGTAGGGTTAGGGTTTAGGGCCCTAAACCCTAAGCCCTAGGCCCTAAACCCTAAACCCTAAACCCTAAACCCTCAGGTTTTAGCATGTTCGGACCCCATTCTGAAGGATGCCAGGATGGATTTGCGCGTTGCGGTGCCTGTTTTGTGCCGGACTCTTCAAGCAACTGGTGTTGTAGTGCATCTTCCACACGTAGGTTTATGGTGTTTTGCCACAAGCACAAAAGCGAATCAAGTGCTGCTGACAGAATTCCTGGGCTTTGAAAACTCGGCAACCATGGAATCTTCAAACTCCCAAGTCTTTGCTCAGTGACAGTCAAGCAGGCTGTGACTCGGCGGACTTGTGCACGATCGCCTCTGCTGTCTCTCTGCTCTGTGGGGACAGCGCTCAGGCACGTGTAATAGAATTCTCCCTTATGGTCCCTTCATAATTATACGATAATAACCCCCAAAACCCTAGTCTAATCATTAAGGCCCCTATAGTAGGGTTTAGGGTGCGGGGGTGGACAGTTTCGTTTGACCTTGCTGAGTTGGGCAGCTTCAAGTGTGATGGCCTAGTTCGTCGTGCTTCTGCCTTGTTGCGTCCGTGCTTTGGGCTCACAAACAGGCTCAGAGGCGCTACACTCCACTCCTTGCAGAGCTGAGGGAAGCCCCCCCAACCGCGTGTTGCCCTCGGAACGCCACACTCTAACCCTACCGCTACCCTTAAGCCTGACACCCTCCTCACAACCCTAAACCCTAAACCCTAAACCCTAAACCCTAAACCCTAAACCCTAAACCCTAAACCCTAATCACAGCTTCAGCCGAGCAGAGCCCATGGTATGCCGCCCATGCCGCGATCCCTTGAAGCCGAGCGATCCCTGCTTCACTGGAACAAGGCCTAAACCCTAAACCCAAAACCCTCCTTGGTAGACCAGTGGTACCCTTTAGCCTTTTTTGGGGTTTAAAGTTCCCTTGTGAAGTAAGCAACCGAAAAAGGGGCTTGGGATTACGATATGGCAACTGGGCTACTATAAGACTCTTGGGAGGCAAAGCAAATCGCGGTCGTCGCAGTTTTGTCCATTGCAATGCTGCATCCAACTGGGCTACTATAAGACTCTTGGGAGACAAAGCAAATCGGAGCTGCATCACCCGAAGGGACAAAGTTAGCTACTGTGTAGCCACCTGCTGGCGCCCAAGTTGCTGACAGCAGAAGGCGCCTAACATTGTAAAGCAACCTGTAGTCGCCGGCTCAAGACTAGATCTGGGTGCAGATTCGCAGATTCAGCTTCTTACACGTGCATGGTGTGAACGACATGATGTAGTCGATGTCCCCACTTGCCACAAGTTGTTGGTCAGCTTTTCTTGACCAGGCCATCAGTGAGGCAAAGCGATCTCAGCAGTGGCAGCAGGCGGTGGCCCTGGCTGCTTGCCGCGGATTTGGTAGCCAGGTCCCTGACCATGAATCTTGACAAATAAAGGGTTAGGGTTAAGGTTTAGGATTTAGGGTTTAGGAAGCCAAAACCTAAAGCTGCAACGCCGTAACGCCGTAAGCTGCAGAAGCCTGAAGTAGCCTCCTGGTGATCCTAAAAACCCTAAACCCTAAACCCTAAACCCCTAAGAAGCCTGAAGTAGTCTCCTGATGATCCAAGGTGGGCGACGTCGGGCAGGTCCAGCTGCAGCCAGATGCCGCATGATTAGAACTCAGGACTTTGTCTTCGGGTCAGGACGAACGCTTGCATGGGACCATGAATCCTACCACCATGTATATGCCCTGATATATATATATATAGGTATATATATGTATATGTATAGACTGTGTTTGAGAGATCATGTACTCTTTGAGGAAAGAGGAAACCAACCCAACATAGAAATCCCAAAACCCTCACCACAGTCCCATTCTGCTTTCCGATGCTTGAGCCACAGTCCGTGGCATAGTTTATGGTTAAGCTCGGTTGCGCGTGTCATCCTCGCGCGGGCCGACTTCATTACAGTAAGTACTGGAGACAAAGGTAGTTAAACGTAGAACCTTTAATAGCACCTTTCAAGAATCCAAAAGATGGGGAAGTTATTCCTGATCCAAGATATTTAGACAACAGGGAGTTCCAAGAGTTAAAAGAATCTGGAAAGGATGGGATTCTTCGTGGCAAAACATTCAATCTTACGAAATTCATGGGTGGAAAGGTAAGATGAATACCAGTAATATTGCATGAAGATGAACACGAGAAGGTGTGCTAGAGAATGAAAGTAAAATCTTAGTACCATGTAATCCTAGACCTACTGCAGCATTTCGAGTTGTTCCTGTAGAACCACCTATAGTATACGTTACTAAAAGGAGAGGTGAGAAGAACACGAAAACCTGCCCAGCAGATGCGCGCCCCAAGCACCTCTCAAGAAGACCATACAGTAGTGGTTGCACACCATCTCTGAATGCTGAGGGTGCCAGGGGCCTAAATCTCCGTGCTCTTGAGGTTATCACCGGCGGCAACAGTGGTTTCAGGGCTAGGAAGGGTTTAGGGTTTAGGGTTTAGGGTTCAGGGTTTAGGGTTTAGGAGGGTTCAAAAAAGCAAACCAGGTCGTCACCTACAACACCGCCGCCAGCGCTTGCAGCCGGGCGAGCGAATGGCAGCAGGCAAGTGCTCTAAATCGAAATGATTTTCATTGAACGCGGTATGCCTGAAGGATGTCTTGTTTTTCTCCTGATCGTTTACCGGGCACCCGAGTCCGCCCAACTATATCTGAAGCAAGTTCTCATAGGGCTCATATGGATTTTCGGGTGCGTGTTGGTGATGGCAGGGCTTTGTTGGAATGGCCTGCTGTCCAGCTTTTGGACATGATTATACTTGTTTCCCTTAACTTTGTGGCGGGTCAACGTGGGAAAGACGTAAACCCCCGTCCCAGCAACCTAAACAATGTGACGTTTCACACATTTGCGTTCGGGAAGGGGCTAAGGGACCACCCAACTTGTTCAAAGCCCTAAGCCCTAAACCCTAAACTCTGCAACTGCCCTACTAGGATGCCCCGTTGTGCCCTTATTCCCTTTTGAGGGGTTTAGGTTCCCTTGTAAACCCCTCTAAGCCCAAAAAGGCCAACCCGTTTTCATCCTAGGTTGCTGGGCCGGGCAACCAAGCCTACATGCCCTGAAGACAGAACCCTTGACTTGAACCTATTAGCCCTAAACCTCTAAGCGTCAAAAACGACAGGTCCTCTGAGCCCTACACCCGAAACCCTCCGGTGGCGGCGATTCTCACACTAAACCCTAAACCCTAAAAAACCCTAAACCCTAAACCCGAAACCCTAAACCCTAAACCCTAAACCCTAAACCCTAAACCCCTAAACCCTCAACCCTAAACCCCTAAACCCTAAACCCTAAACCCCTAAACCCCTAAACCCCTAAACCCCTAAACCCTAAACCCTCAACCCCAAGCCCTAGCACCGCTCGTTGCTTCAGGCTCTGGCGCTGCTCGGCAGCACCCGGGATGGCAGTGTGCGCGCTCCTTGGCGTGAAGGGTGGTCTTGGAGTTTAGGGTTTGGGGGGCTTTGGGTTTTGGGTTTAGGGGTTTTGGGTTTAGGGTTTAGGGTTTAGGGTTTAGGGTTTAGGGTTTAGGGTTTAGGGTTTGGAGTTTACGGTTTTGGGTCTTGGGTTTTGGGTTTTGGGTTTTGGGTCTTGGGTTTTGCGGGGTTTGGCGGCTAGGGGGTTTAGGGTTCAGAGGTCGAGGGGGTTTTGCGGGGTAAGGGTTTTAGAGGATTCGCTGATGGAAAAGTAGGGTCTGTCCGGCGCGAGCAAGCCTGATTGTGCCATCACGGCCGAAAGCTTCCAGAGGTGTATATTGAAGCTCCACTGGCGCCGTTTGGAGGGGTTAAGAGGCAGAATTGCCAATCCCAATCGCACCCCTAAACCCTAAACCCTAAACCCGAAACCCCAATTAAACCTGAAACCCTAAACCCCAATTAAAACAGCAGACTTCAAACACCGGTCAGCTCGATTGAAGCTAATCCCCAAACCCTGAAATCTTGAACCCTAAACCCTTAAAGGGCCCAGAACTTCTAGCCTCTGGACCGCTAAGGGCCCCCAGCACCCTAAATCTTGAACCCTGAACCGAAAGACCCTAAACCCTGAACCCTGCACCCTAAACCCTAAACCCTAAACCCTAAACCCTAAACCCTAAACCCTAAACCCTAAACCCTAAACCCTAAACCCTAAACCCTAAACCCTAAACCCTCAGCAAGGTCGACGTCATTACCTTCTGCGCTGTGCTGAGCGCCTGCACAAAGGCAGCTGAGTGGTGTCAGGCCCGGGATGCTTTGATTTGGGCTTGGGGTTTAGGGTTTAGGGTTTAGGGTTTAGGGTTTAGGGTTTAGGGTTTAGGGCTTAGGGTTTAGGGTTTAGGGTTTAGGGTTTAGGGTTTAGGGTTTAGGTAGGGTTTAGGGTTCAGGGGTAGGGTTTAGGGATTCGGGGTAGGGTCTAGGGATTAGGGGTAGAGTTTAGGGGTAGGGTATGTGTCGGTTGATCGGGCGAGAATATCAGGGTTTAGATTTGAAAGGGCCTTGGTATAGGGCTGCAGGGTTTAGGGTGTAGCGGGTTTCTGGGTTGATCGAAATTGTGGGACCAGTTTTGGTAAACCCTAAACCCTAAACCCGAAACCCTAAACCCTAAACCCGAAACCCTAAACCCGAAACCCTAAACCCTAACCCCGAAACCCCGAAACCCTAAACCCTAAACCCGAAACCCTAAATCCCTCCAGTTGGGAGCCCACTCCTTCCTTGAAGCCATGGATTTCTGGGGTCAGCGGGGCCAGGTATGCTCACTGAGGGAATACGGACCACAAGAAAACCCTAGGCCTGAGGGACCCTAAACCCTGAACCCTGAACCCTGAACCCTAAACCCTAAACCCTAAACCCTAAACCCTAAACCTGTCTGCTGGAGCTTATCAGGCCCTGGAGCTTCTAAGTACAGCGGACAGCAAGGACCGCCTGGGCGTGAGTTGAGGTTCAGGAATTGTCAAGGTTTGGAGGTTTTTGGTTTAGGGTGTTAGGCTCTAGGGTCTAGGGCCTGGGGTCTAGGATTTAGGGGAGTGTTAGGGTTTAGAGTGTTCATTAGGTCTTTGGGTGTTAGGGTTTACGGCTTAGTGTTGATGCGCATAGTTATCTTGGCTGCCCAGAGGTAATGCAACCTGTTGGAGTTTTACGGGCTTTGCACACCCCTCTTCGCGTAAAGTTCCCGAATTGGGCCTTTTGAGTCTTAGGTTGCACTGGGCAACCTAGTCACTACTAGTCTACAAGCACTGAACTGCGGCGTTTCATGGTCATGGTGTTTTGGGGGGGCTCTGATTCGCCTGCGGGTTGAGGGTTTCGATCCCTAAACCCTAAACCCTAAACCCTAAATCCTAAACCCTAAACCGGGCAACCACGA